AGAAGAGGACAACAAACGAGGGGATGTGACAAACTGTTTCGTCAGAGGTTCACCGACTCATCAGGAGGCTAACATATAGTCGTTGATGCTTAACCACAGCCGGGGTTAAGGTGGATTATCACTTACAGTGTAATCAGTTAAGGGATTCTGCAGACTGTTGAGGGTTCAGCCTCCTGATGAGTCTGTGATCTCCGACGAAACAGTTTGTCACAGCCCCTCATTTGTTGTCCTCTTCTCCCTCTCTGCCTACCGTTTACCGGGCAGCTCGGTTTGACATTATCTCCCTCTCTGCCGACGGTCTACCGGGCAGCTCTGTTTGACGATATACTTGTAAACGACGATGTATATCGTCAAACAGACATAGAGCTGCCCGGTAAACCGTAGGCCGAGAGAGAGAAGAGGACAACAAACAAGGGGCTGTGACAAACTGTTTCTTCGGAGTTTCACCGACTCATCAGGAGGCTGAACCCATATATATATATAGTTGACAATGCCTGGTTGTCAGAAACAAATATAACACCCGCAGGGCGTCGTTCTTGTCGATGAAACGGTTTCACCCAGTTGAACCGACATTTGCAGACAGCAGGATTCGATCCCTAAACCTGCCCCTAAGCCCTGTACATAAACCCTGTGTCCTGAGTAGGATTTGAACCTGTGACCTGTCCCTAAACCCGTGTGTTACTTAGTGGGGCTGTTTGTTAGCTGGTAGGACTTGATCCACATATCTTTGTATTAGCAGGTTAGTATGATTCCGTTAAGATTAGTTAGGGCCCATCTAGAAGTCGATTGGTGTCTCCTCGCAGGACTAAGGGCCAGTCCCCAGGTAGCAGTCCGTGGGTAGCAGTCTGTAGGTTCTAGGTTCCAGAAGGATCTGTCTCAGTCAGCGAGTACCAAGAAGAGCCACAGCACGTGGTTTGAGGGGGCCCACGCGGTATGGGCCTTTACAGGTCCACGCGGTTTGGGGCTGCTGGGTCCGACGCGTTCTGGCCCACACGTTTTAGGCCTTGACAGGCCCTCACGCGGTATGGGGGCCCTGCCTCCCACACGGTATGGGGTCCAGGCCCACGCGTTTTGAGGCCCAGGCCCTCGCACGTTTTCGAGCCCAGGCCCACGCGTTTTGGGCAAGGACAGGGCACTCCCGGACAGTATAAATAAAGAGGCAGCGTTCAGCCATTTATTCATTTGCCTGTGAGCCATGAGGAAGCGCTGCCTTGGCGACTTGTGCGTGGAGGTCTGCAGGTGCCCGCAGTTGAAATGGGCAGTGAGGAAGACGGCGGCAGCCATAGCTAGGAGGAGGAAGACAACGGCGGCCATAGCCACCAAGCTGTTGACGTCAACTTGGTGTACAGTGTGTGTGGATAGCGTGGACATTCAGGGTGGATCCCCGGACATATGTACATGAGGGAGAGCGAGGCTGGTGGTGGAGACAGTGTTCGGCGGCCATAGCCGCAAGTTGTACGGTTGACTTGAACTGAGTTATAAGCGCAAGTTGATTGTTGATTCTGAGTCTGAGAAAGCATTTCACCATCAGTTCCTGCGTGTGTGCATGTTACAAGCAAGTTTGGAGTGCAGTCTGATTTCATCTACAGCACTGGGGCGTATTTTCAGGTGAAGATACTAGTGTTTCAAGGGGGGCAAGAGGGCAGGTGATGAAGGAGGATAGCTCTCAAGGAGGCAGAGAATGCAAGCAAGATTGGAAGCAAGACAGGGAGCAAAGACTGGCAACGGGTGGAATCACACAGGGAGTGAGGAAGGCCGAGCAGATTGCAACCATGAAAAAAGTCCCACCATTCTCTGCCGCGAAGTCTGCTAAGGTCCTGACAATCGCCACAACAGGCACATTACTGCTCGAAAACTGGAGGAAAACCTCATCCATTACCTGCCAATTTCAAACAGCCAAAAATGGAGCAGCCGTTCCGATGAATGTTCGTGAACCACCCATAAATAACCAACAGGCACGACCTCTCACAAGCTAACCAATCAGGAGAAAGAAGAAATCATTCAAACGAGTCTTGCATGCTACATAATCAGGCACCGAAGGCAACTCAGCACCGACTTTCTTCGTACGTTGTTGCATGTATCCCACCTAATACAGCATTACCCAAACTTCTCAGGAGAACAAAGTTTTTTCAGGAAAAAGTGCAGTTTCAGACAGAAGCAAACTCTCAGCAAAAAAGAGGTCCATCAAAGAAGCATAAGGTAGAAGCATGACATAACGAGCGCTGATAATGTGCAAAGATATCGACAAAGACAGCATATCCACATGTACCACAGGCCCAACCGAAGGTCAGTGATCATGTGGGATGCACAGTTTTTATTCTGGTACTCAGATAATTTCCTCCGTTCATACAAGAGACTGGATGATACTGACCAGCTTGGGCATCCTAGCAGCCAGAGCAACCAAAAGCGCTGACCCACCCAGCTGCCACTCCGTCATCAATTCCTGTAAAAGCCCACATTGGAAAGCATCCACGAGTCAACAACACCGCACTTGCTACATCGACATCCACCCAAAACGCCATCACCAACACAGAACCAAAAAAAAAAAGGGGGGGGCGGGGAGGAAGCTGAAGAATTAAGGAGCATGCCCTACACTGGAAAGCACAGATTTCACCGAGTTCTTAAAATTTCAAAACTCTCGATCCCTCAAGTTGTACTCTTGTGGCTTAAGCATAATGTGGGAGCAATACCGAAACCAGAAAATTCAACGAAGGAAAGACTAAGGACATCATTCTGGCAATTTGATTTGCGTGCACGGCGTACTCAATCATCAAAGAGAAAACATACTCGGCATCCCCATGGCATCATGTAGTTAGTATGAAGGCACGGAAAAACTCAATGGCGAAAACTGTTTAGGAATTCTTCAGAAGATCAACCTAAGATGGATTCAACTTTCGGCAGCTCGTCTTATCTTACTTATTTGTATATATTTGCATATATCACGGGTACCCTATCAATCCCCAGATTTCATTTGCTTCTATATTACTTCTTCAGTTACGATGTCCTCCTCTTTCTGCTCTGACTCTTGTGTGCCAGGTCCCTACTTTTTCCTCACCCATACTGATTTTGTCCGCATTGTGTAGCCAGCCACCCCTCATGATGGGATTATCTTCCATTTTTTTCACGTGTGGCCAACAGATGGCAATGGACAGTTAGACACACATGCTGTGCACCTTCCGCTCAACCAAACGTTTGTGTACGGAGACTTTAAGACTTGGGGAAACACCCGTGTCAGGCACTGGAGTCTGTCCCTATTCAATGCTCCTCTTTTTTTTTCGACATCATTTTCTGCTCCTTCCTGGTACCTCCAAAGTTGAGAAACAGTAGGAGAACATCTAGAGAAACATTTAAAGAGAAAATGAAGAGTTCGGTGGATCACGAATGCATGCTCACACCTCCAACACAATAAGCTAGCACTGCCTAGCAGTCATCATCAGGTACGAAGATGACCTTACTTACATAATCTGGGCACTTCAAACCCAATTTGCTATGCTGATTTCATGAATGTGGGTGTAATCCTCCAACCTGGTTCGTGAGGATCTAGAGACAAGTTGGAGCTAGAGCAACACAACCCCCAGTTTAAGGAACTTGGTGCCGAATAGAAGGGGTAGTAAATGTGAGCCATCAGCTTGCGCTGATTACGTCCCTGCCCTTTGCACACACCGCCGTCGCTCCTACTGATTAAATGGTCCGGTGAAGTGTCTGGATCGCGGTGATCTCAGCGGTTTGCCGCTGGGGATACCGTGAGAAGTTCATTGAACCTTATCAGTCGTAACAAGGTTTCCTTAGCTGAGCCTGAGGAAGGATCATTGACCAAAAACAAAAAAAAAAACAAAAAAGGAATTAGTCAAATCCAGTTCGCGAGAGAAGCATGTATATCAGTATAACCAGTCTCTAGCAGTCCGTATGGCCTTGGTCTAGTGGAGAGAGTGCCACAGTGGCTGGAATCTACCAAGTTCCCGCTGCCCAAGTTAGCCTGGTGTATTACATACTGCTGAGATCAGGCGGCCTTTACTTCGGGTAGCATAGTTGAGGATAATGTTAGGAATAGGATCAGGGAGTTAATAGTAGTACGGAGTTTACATAAGTTAAGATGGTGTATTTGCCATTTGGTGAATTTGTGCGTTTGGTGAATTAATTTCGCCACGAAGATTGTGTTTGAGTCTGTCACAGATGGAGCTCGGGAATAGCGTCCCTAGTCGTTTTCGTGGGTGGAATTCTGAGGTCCCCAGCCTCAATGGTTCGAAATACTAATAAACTTAAATGCAGTCTTTGTTGCAAAAAAGAAAAAGAAAATGCCGCTCCTGTAAGCTAACAGGCTCTATTTCCGCACAGCACTAAAGAGTTACCCACTGAGATTGGAACCCGATTACAAAGCCAATGGCTAGAATCGGTTGCGTACAGAGACACTGAGGAGCTAGAATCGGTTGTGTACGGAGACACCGAGGGGCCATGAAAGGACCGTCTTTTTTATAGTGGGTTACTGGTAATACCCTGCATGATGCATCCCAAGTGAAGTGAACAGTATATACAGTCTGTTGGATGGTAGACGGCAAGTAAAAAGCACACTTGAAGAAGGGGTATAACGACAGGAAAGCAAAGCTCAAAGCAATTTATAATTTTAATATTATTTTATACAGATGGGTCATAAAAAGCAGAGGTACAGAAGCGGGTCGAACCAGATCACATCTCACCTCACCAAACCAAACCACTACTAGTGGTAATCAAACCAAACTGGACCAGTTCCCAGTCTTCCCATAGACATACAGACATGTCTAATATAGACAAGCTCCATTGCATAGTCACACACAATACAAGTTCACCATATCTTCAAAGGCCAAACATACAAAGGGGTGATAAATGGTAGGAGGGGAGAGGCAAAATTATACATGCATCACATAAAACCACACCACACCAAACCGAACCAAACCAGTTTTCACACACAGAAGGAAAGGAACGAAGGCCAATGCAAGGCAGGATGTCTGACATAGACAACCTCCATTGCAGTCACACACATACATGTGTCATAAAAAGTACGGGGGCAGAAGAAAAATTATAAATACATCATATCACACCACACCACACCACACCAACTGAACCAAAACGAAGGCCAATGCATGGCAGGATGTCTCACATAGACAGCAGTCACACACATACATATGGGTCATAAAAAGTAAGGGGCAGAAGAAAAATTATAAATACATCACATCACACCACACCACACCAACTCAACCAAACCGGTTTCAACACACAAGGCGAGGAAAGGGACAGACACCAGCAACGAAGGAAATAAGACTGAGGCCTACGCTGACAAGAGGGGTACGCTGACGAGAGGGGAAAGTCATATACAACTTCCATCAAGTTTTATTAGCCACACAGGAAATGCAAAACTCTACACCAAAACATACACATCCACATCACTCAATGAACCACCCGCTAAATATTTACAGCAGAACCATTGCAGTCAGGGTAGTGTAAACCAGCATAGGGAAAGCAGGGTACAAGAACCAGCAGAGGCCAAGTCTGGGAAGAGTTAAAATAGCAGTTTACCAACCGTGTCGTTCTCAATAGCAAATAAAGACTGAAAAAAAAAGCATCACCCCTGAGAGGAGCAAGTTCAACGATAAGGGGGACAAGGGTGTAGCAGAAGCTAAGGCTGAGAAGATACAGAGGGCAGTAGCGGACTGGATGCCTTGCTGTCAACCACATGGAGGTGGCAAATCCTACAAACACAATGAACTGGTGGAAGTAGCATAAACACCAGGGACGCAGGTTCCCAGAGATTCTCCTTGTTGCTCTACCAGTTGATGACCACCGTCCATACCCGACAACCAGACTAAGACCCCCGAATCCTGAACACACAAGGACCAGGCGCAGAGCGAGAAATGACTCAGTCCAATGGAAATGCAGCGACATGAACGATTGAGCCAGATCTTCCACATGATGACATGGCATTAGCAATTTACCACCAATGCTTCCAAAGCCTGTCTGTAACTGCACCTCATACCTAACGTAGCTTGCCCCAGACTTCGGGGAAAACAAACATCAGCAGCAATATTGATGAAAGCTTGCTCCACAGTGCGGGGAAAACGAACTTCAGCAGCAATATTGATGAAAGTGTTCCACTCTTTCAGAATGTTTTTCTATTCTCCTCCAAGTCATCCTTCCTTCACCACATGAAAGCCTGAAGAGAAGCATATAGTTGAAATTCAAATTTTGGCAAGTTCGCGTTACTCTTTTCTGAGATTCAGAGTTCCGAGGGCAGGACTAGGGGCCCGTGAAGTGTCGAAGGGCCTGTTGGAGGAGAGTCTCTCTCCTTCGCTGGCTCTCTGAGAGGTTATAAGTGAAGTCTAAACTAAACTCCGTACATTGCTATAGAATGCACACGGCAGGACTTTTCATGGATGCGTCTGACCTGAATTACTCCCAGATTCTGTCGAACAAACGCCCTGCTGTCAGTATGCCCTTAACTATACATACGAAATTACAAACCCGAAAAACAGATTGAAAACTCTACCAGAGGATGGCAGTGGCGACTTGTTATGGAATATGGCATATCTGCATATGCAACCAAAAAAATAACAATCGTAAATTAACCTGAGTGGGGATCCAGGCCGCCCGGGGGGCCCGGGGGAGGTCCCGGGCGGCCTGGCCGGGCAGGGCACCCGGTTTGGGGCCGGGCCTCCCCAGCGCACTCACCTGTCGAGGGATTTCGGACCCCCTTTCGGACCCCCTTTGTGTGTGTGTGTGTGTGTGTGTGTGTGTGTGTGTGTGTGTGTGTGTTTGTGTGTGTGTGTGTG